AATCCATCCACATCATCCACCACATCAACAAAAAGAAGGACCTAAACCACATGATCATCTCCATAGATGCAGAAAAAGCATTCGACAAAATTCAACATCCATTCATGATAAAAACTCTCAACAAAATGGGCATAGAGGGCAAGTACCTCAACATAATAAAGGCCATATATGATAAAGCCACAGCTAATGTCATACTGAACAGCGAGAGGCTGAAAGCTTTTCCTCTGAGATCGGGAACAAGACAGGGATGCCCACTCTCCCCACTGTTATTCAACATAGTGCTGGAGGTCCTAGACACGGCAATCAGACAAAACAAAGAAATACAAGGAATCCAGATTGGTAAAGAAGAAGTCAAACTGTCATTGTTTGCATATGACATGATATTGTACATAAAAACCCTAAGACTCCATTGCAAAACTACTAGAACTGATATCAGAATTCAGCAAAGTTGCAGGATACAAAATTAACACACAGAAATCTGTAACTTTCCTATACACTGACAATGAACTAAATAGAAAGAGAAATCAGGAAAACAATTCTATTCACAATGGCTTCAAAAAGAATAAAATACCTAGGAATAAACCTTACCAAGGAAGTGAAAGACCTATACTCTGAAAACTACAAGACACTCTTAAGAGAAATTAAAGAGGTCACTAACAAATGGAAACTCATCCCATGCTCCTTGCTAGGAAGAATTAATATCGTCAAAATGGCCATCCTGCCCAAAGCAATATACAGATTCGATGCAATCCCTATCAAATTACCAACAGCATTCTTCAATGAACTGGAACAAATAGTTCAAAAATTCATATGGAACCACCAAAGACCCCGAATAGCCAAAGCAATCCTGAGAAGGAAGAATAAAGTTCTCCTAACTTCAAGCTCTACTACAAAGCCACAGTAATCAAGACAATTTGGTACTGGCACAAGAACAGAGCCACAGACCAGTGGAACAGAATAGAGACTCCAAACATTAACCCAAATATATATGGCCAATTAATATACGATAAAGGAGCCATGGATGTACAATGGGGAAATGACAGTCTCTTCAACAGATGGTGCTGGCAAAACTGGACAGCTACATGTAAGAGAATGAAACTGGATCACTGTCTAACCCCATACACAAAAGTAAACTCCAAATGGATCAAAGACCTGAATGTAAGTCATGAAACCATAAAACTCTTAGAAAAAAACATAGGCAAAAATCTCATGGACATAAACATGAGTGACTTCTTCATGAACATATCTCCCCGGGCAAGGGAAACAAAGGCAAAAATGAATAAGTGGGACTATATCAAGCTAAAAAGCTTCTGTACAGCAAAGGACACCATCAATAGAACAAAAAGGTATCCTACAGTATGGGAGAATATATTCATAAATGACAGATCTGATGAAGGATTGACATCGAAAATATATAAAGAGCTCACATGCCTCAACAAACCAAAAGCAAATAATCCAATTAAAAAATGGGCGGACGAGGTGAACAGACAGTGCTCTAAAGAAGAAATTGAGATGGCCAATATACACATGAAAAGATGCTCCACATTGCTTGTCATCAGAGAAATGCAAAGTAAAACCACAATGAGATATCACCTCACACCAGTAAGGATCGCCATCATCGAAAAGACAAACAACAACAAATGTTGGCGAGGTTGTGGAGAAAGGGGAACCCTCCTACACTGCTGGTGGGAATGTAAATTAGTTCAACCATTGTGGAAAGCAGTATGGAGGTTCCTCAGAATGCTCAAAATAGAAATACCATTTGACCCAGGAATTCCACTTCTAGGAATTTACCCTAAGAATGCAGCACTCCAGTTTGAAAAAGACAGATGCATCCCTATGTTTATCGTTGTAGTATTTACAAAACCTAAGATATGGAAGCAACCTTAATGTCCATCGGTAGATGAATGGATAAAGAAGATGTGGTACATATGCAGAATGGAATATTACTCAGCCATAAGAAGAAAACAAATCCTACCATTTGCAACAACATGGATGGAGCTAGAGGGTATTATGCTCAGTGAAATAAGCCAGGTGGAGAAAGACAAGTACCAAATGATTTCACTCATATGTGGGGTATAAGAACAAAGAAAAACTGAAGGAACAAAACAGCAGCAGGATCACAAAACCCAAGAATGGACTAACAGTTACCAAAGGGAAAGGGACTGGGGAGGATGGGTGGGAAGGAGGGGATAAGGGCAGGGAAATAGAAAGGGTTCATTACGATTAGCATGTATAGTGCGGGGGGGTGGGCATGGGGAGGGCTGTGTAACACAGAGAAGACAATTAGTGATTTTACAGCATCTTACTACACTGATGAATAGTGACTGTGAAGGGGTATGTTGGGGGGACTTGGTGAAGGGGGGAGCCTAGTAAACATAATGTTCTTCATGTAATTGTGTATTAATTTTTTAAAAAACCTTACTGTGATATAATAAGCTTAAAACAAACTGCATATTCTTAAAGCATACAATCTGATAAGTTTACATTTATGTGGGTACTCATAAAACAATCCTCATAGTCAAGATAGTGAACATACTAAGCACCCCCAAAAGTTTGTTCACATCCCTTTGTAATTGGCCCGTCTTTCCCCTCTCCTCCAACTAATTACCATATGCTTTCTGTCACTACAGTTTAGTTTGCATTTTCTAGTTGTATATAGTAGAACTATACAGTGTGTACTCTTCTTTCTAGCTTCTTTCACTCAGTATAATTATTTTGAGATTCATCCAAGTTGTGTTGTATACACTTGAAACTTGTTAGGAGGGATCTCATGGTAAGTATTTTAATGCAATGAAATAAAATTAGAAAAAAAGAAAATACATGGATGACAAATAAGCACATAAAATGTTCAACATCATTAGTCATTAGAGAAATGCAAATGAAGACCATAGTAAGAAACCTCTCCATTCCTATTGGAATGGTTAAAATTAATCAGACTACACCACAGCAAGTGTATGGAGGAAATGCAACTTTCATGCACTGCTGGTGGGAAGGTAAAATGCAGTTTCTTAAAAAGTTAAATAATACCTATTTGACCCAGCCATTCTATTCCTAGATGTTTACCAAAAATATATATATCCATACCAAGATTTGTACACACATGCTCAGAGCCATTTTGCTTGTAACTGCCAAAACCTAAAAATGACCCAAATGTTCACCAGAAGGTGAATGGATAAACAAATGGTGATAGGTCCATATAATGGAATACTACTCAGCAATAAAAAGGAATGAACTATTGGCACAACAACCTGAATGAATCTCAAGATATATATACTTTTAAGTTGTGGGTAAAAATGTGAGGGTAATCCCTAATAGGATACAAATCAGTTGTGGAACATCTGACCTACTGAAGGGAATAAAAGGAACAAAGAAATATCTATTCATCAAAAAGAAGAACAGAAGAGGACATGGAGCCATTCAGTGAAAACCAAACACAAAACAACTTGGCTATCACATGGCGGGGAGTGTCTAGACTTCTCTGCTGTGTTAAAATACCTTTACGTTTTATTCTTTCTCTCAGTGTGCTTGTGGTGAGTCTTCGGGACTCTTTTTCTTACAGATAGGTGCAGAACTGCCCCCATACCTTACCCCTCTTCTTTCCTCGGGCCCCACAGTCCACATTCGGGCCTCTGTTGAATTTATATGCCTGCTGTAACCCTGGCCCAAGTCACACCTCACAGCTCTGGGCTGGCCCAGCTGCTCAGGCTGGTTCGGTTAAACTCCTGCCTTCCGTCCCTCAGCCTGTTCTTCCTCTTTCTGGACTCCAGGTGTTAGGGCTGGGGTTCATCTAATACCCTGCCCATGACTGTGTTAATTTTCAGGTTCCTTAACTCTGTTTTTACTTTCTCCATCAGTGTAGCCTGTCTGCTTCATATGTCCCCAAAACTACTCAGTGTTTCTGGCCCACTAAGTCCCCCCAATCTCTCCTTCCTAGAACAGCCTTAGTTTTATTTATCAAGCTCTGCAAGCACATAGTTTTTCTAATTTTCTAATATTTGTTAAGAATAATAGTAGTCCCCAAACTTCTCTCCCTGCTTCTTGTTTCCCAGAGCCAATCTTTGAGTGTTTCCCCTTAAACCTCCAAATCATAGACTCGTGTTGCCATTTTTTGACTCTTCAGGTTCCGTCATTGTCAATGCAAGATGAGAATTTAGTGCTATTTTCTCCCCTCCCACACCACAAACACATACCCTCCCCCTACCCCACTCTTTCCAATACAGTTATATGTAGTTTTGATTAAATCCATATTCAGTATTTACCTCATGATACCTAAGCTCGCTCTTCATATTTGAGCCATGTAGTGAACTATGATTGAATTTCCTGCTAAACTTTGTTTTTCCTAGTATTAATAACTTTTGGGTTTTTCATTAGAATTTTTCATTTACTTATGAGTAATTCAACCCCAAACTCTTTCCCAGTTTTCTAAATCTCTTCCCAACATATCCAACACATCAGTCTGTCATTTTCATCTGCTTGAAATCATTCCCTGTCCTGCTACCCTAGGAACCACTTGCTCCTCACTCTTGGTGCTAAGCTCTCACCCTGGGGTCTCCTTCACCATGACTCTGGAGATTCCATTCACTTCTCTCCTGTGTTAGACTTCTGTTTCTTATATCCCGTATCTTCCTCTTCATTGGTTTATGCCTACATTTTGGGGGAGGCATCCTCTAGTAGTTCCCTGAGACAGGGAGGGGGTGCACAGGAAAAAATTCTTGAGATTTTACTTCCTGGAACTCTATTTGACCCTCATTTTGATAGTTTAGTTAGATATCTTGTATTTTTCAATGTTACAAAGTTTAGGAAAACATTTGATATCATAAAGAGAGACAGGAGTTATATGGAAAAATCAATTAACATTTTCCTCAATGTATCCATCCATACCCTGAATTCAAAGGATCAGTGCCTTTTGCTTTTTTTCAAAATGTCTTAAAAATGTACAAGTCTTCATTTCCTATAGGTGGATTTTACATTTCTACATCTTTTATATTTTCAAACAGGGATCCATTTGTGATGACTTTTTGGTGACCAACTGCTGTCCTCTGTTCTCTCTTTGCCAAATCAAGAGAGACATCAACAGAAGGAGAGCCATGCATACTTTCTAAAGAACTAATGGTAGGTCCCAGAATCTGTGGATTTTTAGAAAAGTAATTAAGGGCTTTGTAAATCATGCATTATTTTGAGTAATACTTCTGTAATAATAATTCCTTAAGTCTCTCAAATGGTATCTTAATATAAAGATAGATTTTTATTTTTTCTTATGAAGAAGATAGCTAGATTAGGTTGCTTCAGCTGCCATAAGAAAATTCCATAGCCTGGGTGGTTTACACAACAGGAATATATTTATCCCAGTTCTGGAGGCTGAGAAATCCAAGATCAAGGAGTGAGGCCTTGATTCACTTCCTTGGTGAGGGTCCTCTGCCTAGCTTGCAAATGGCTGCCTTCTCGCTGTATG